CGCGGGCCTGTTGTCAAGGGGCTGTAGTTCCAACGAAGGAGGCACCCACCCTCGCCGCCCCCTGAACCCGCACTGCCGCCCCTAGGCCGTCGTCATCCTCCATGCACCGAGCGCCGTCGAGATGATGACGCGCAGGCGTCCTGACGCCGACAGTGCCGAGGGTCGAACACGCGGTGCCCTTCAAAGACCCCGGTAGGGCCGTAATAATTCTGACAGCACGCATATCCCGAAGACGGTCGGAGAACATTCTGAGGATGTTCGAATATCCTCGGAATGTCTTTCGGTGCTTTTTAGGGAAGTCATTGGTTTTATGATTAAAGCTTTACATGCGTTGGGAGGATAAATATAAATAAAGTTTGAAATTTTTAATTGTCCAAAAATAATTCTAAAGGGTGAAACTACCCCTCATATTGTAGAGCTTTTCTATACATTTATATACAAAAATATTCCGTGGTAAGAACACATTCTATTTAATCATACTGATAAAATTTTGAAAGAATAAATAGAGATATTTTTATCATGAAATATATATAAAATATTTTTTGACATCTCGACTGCTTTTTGAGATATATCGAGAAGAGCAAAAAATCGCTCTACATATGAGGGGCAATTTCAATCCTTAGAATCATTTTTGGGCAACTGAAAATTTCTAATTTTAATTATTTATTCCTCTCACATGTGTGTAAACTCTCATCAAAATCAGAATTTTCGCGAGGTTTCCTTGTGAGCTGTATCGACTTCTTCTCTTAAGCTGTCAGTTTTCATTTTCATCAAGGAAGTGACGTCGCGCACGAGAACAATGCACGAGAGGATAATCGTCTCTGTAAAGTGGGCCAAAGCAACATTTATAATTATAGATACGAAGATGATGCTCGAAATATTAAAAGCAAAATGTAATTTATATCGATATTAATTTTATAAAAAATTAACCAATATTTGTTATTCGCGAAGCGCGGACGATAAATCTTAGCTTACACAATTAGACATAATGAGTAATGATATAAGCCTAGCTAATGTAAATGAGAAAAATTTTACAAAAAAAATTATCCTTACATGTTAATTACAATGTGACGATTGGATGAAAGGGATAATCTCTTGATCCTGATGCGGTATATGTTGGAAGTCCTCGTTGCGCACAAAGCTACAGAGTGTCCCCGCATTGCCTCTACTTTCAAAAAAGTACAGTTAAAGCAGAAGCCAGGATTGCAGATCCCACTGTCGCATAATGCGTCATAAATTTATGAAAAATTATTGTGGTTGACATATGTATAGTTCCGAATCAATTCCTTAAAGAAATAATATCGTCTCTCTGTATTTGTGTATTTTTTCCCTGCATTTTTTTCTGCAAAAAAAAAAGAACTTTATTAGTAAATATATATAAGTACATTCCAATTACATTTTTAAAATGTAATGTAAATGTAAATAGCGGATTAAAATTTTTCTTTCACATTGTAAAAAATAAAATTTATTAATTTTAAATTTGATATATGGAAGAAAAAGATTAAAGAAGATGAGCGCAAAATAACTTGTGTAATTGAGTCATATACATATATATATTATATACAGTAAAGCAGTTACAATAAAAATTCGAATAAGCACGAATAAGTTCAGCGATTTTAATGGAATTTTATTCCGCATAAGTTCTGCAGAATGATGCAGCGTCTTCTTGTTTCACAGTTTGCGATGCAATATTTGTCTCCCTTATGTAAATCCTTACACGTGTCACGAAACCCTAACTGTGGTGTAAAAATCGATAGCAAATTCGCCTATGAAAAGGAGCAGGAATACAAATGAATGCATATGTAAATTTATTTACCAATAAATATTTTTTGCGCATATATAATTAAAATAACATTAAAACTCGATCACCAAGTCCTCCTTTTACGCAAAACTTTGTAATTTACACGAAGAACGCCCATCATTCGCATCTATTATCTTTCCTATCGTCCTTTTCTCTTTTAATTGCTACCCTCCGGGATTATACTACTGTAACTTGCTAACTCAAGACGGGGTAAGCGTATAAAAGACAATGTGCTTTATGCACGTGAGACCGCGCCACGAACACTGTTATTGCATAAAATATAGCCGGAAGGAATTCGTTTTACAGTATAAAATCACGAAACGTTAAAGTGCATTTGGTATTTTCGAAATACTGTCAAATTTTAGACATATAATTTCGTACATTTAATTGATAAAAGCGTTTATATGACCATAATTTATCTCGTATTTTTTAACAGAATATTTGCTATGTATCTACGTGTTTTAATTAATATAAATTATCATATGAAATAGAGTGGATTTTATATCATTCCATATTAATTCTATCTAAATTGAACCTTGATTTATTTTACAATCGTGAACACGTTATTGACTCCTATTTTGCACATATACAGGGAGTCCCAATCTTACCGTATTATAAGTTCATGGGAAACTCCTAAGGTTATTTGGAGACGATTTTTCCTCAGCAAAAATGTCGAGGAAAGTCATCATTTTTTTAGTATTCCCAATTTTTAAAATCATGTATCTTTGTAACTAAGACTTAAATTAAAATTATATTAAAGTAAACTTTACCTGAAATTAACTAAAAAATGTAGTTTTGTTAATAATTTATTTTCACAAGGTTTAGTTTCCAAAAAAGCTTTTCAATCGTTTATAACTCGAAAATTATTGGTGCCTGGACATTTTCGCTGAGGAAAAATCGTCTCCAAATCGTTTCAAGAATCTCCCATTAACGTGTAGTACAGTAAGTTTGGGACACCCTGTACATGTCATTTCTTATTTGAAGTTGATTGTATTGCAAAGCGAGACAAAAAGTGACAGTTTGATTTATAAATAGCCACAGACGTTATTTATCGACGGAATTCGATTGTCACGTTGTCCTTGATTCAGTTCAACGATTTTTGTCGACATTATTTATCCTATTCGCAAACATGCTCAGTGTTTACTGCGCATCGTGGGGTGCGAGCCACCCTCCATCCCGACGCAGCACTGTCATCAGTGTCGCGACGCAGGGCGAAAACGCAGCCTCCTGTAGTCTTTCCCGGATCGATCCGTGTCCGTGCGAGAACTGGCAGGGAATTCATCGAAAAGTCTCGAGGCTTAGGAGTCTGCTATGTCAACGAGCAACGCGTACAACACCGATCGCTATGCCAGGCTACCAGAATTCCATATTCGGTATGAAACACGAGAGGGAGAGAAAGAGAGACACGTGTGTAATCTTTTGATAATTACTACAACCTCGAGACTCATCTGTCAGTGAGTGACATTGTATGACCGTGTATCCCTTCTTCTTGGTGATCGTAAATTCTAACTTGCGGTCGAATCTAACGAGTAACTCTCATGATGCATTGTCGCAATATCGACAAGAAGTTACATAATACTATTTTCTCTGCTCCTATATTGATTTTAACCAATAGTTACAATTGATCGATTACTTTAAATGTCCTTCAAGAATCAGAATTCTACGTACGCGGCTCTCAATTGTCTTAAATAAGTTCAACGAAACATTTTTATTTATCTCATTGACATATCTGTCACATTCAATGGTCAGTTTTTCTTTCTGCAAAAATAATAACTGCATAAACATTATCTACAATTGATATAATCGCGTGCCACATTTATATATATTTATAAATAAGATATATTTATATATAATAATAATAATGTATGTATGTATACATATATGTAATAATATACATATATGTATACATGTATATAGTATACAGTGTATCTAAATAAGTGCGAAAAATTGTAGGATATGATATTCTTTGTTGAAAATTAAGAGAGGTTTCTTAATTAACATAGCTTTTTCTCAATTTCAAATAAATTAAAAAAATTAAACGAAAAATATCTACCAAGTTTTATTTTTTAAATTTATCTAGCATTTAAGAAAAAAATAAAAACTTACTTTTTACTTCCTTTTTAGAAAAGTGTAACTTCTCAGGAAGGAATATAGAGCATATATGTTTATATAAGAACTCGATCTCTTTAAATTTTCGACAAAGAATCTAAAATTTTCGCACTTATTTAGATACACCCTGTATATATATATATATATATATATATATATATATATAATAATATATAATATATAATACACTACACACACATATATATACACATATTATACACATACATATATACATACATATATGCTATAGAATAACAAGAGTGCATGGAAAAAAATTCTATTGTGCAAAATCTGTATATATCGCTTATTTGCTGCAACAATGACATAACTCAAAAATTTTTAGTTATTAAATTTTTTAGTAGTACACACAAGGAGAAATGTTGCTATATGTACTATCGTTAAATCGTGTTTCCTGAAAAATCATAATTTTCGAGTTATGTCATTATTGCAGTAAATGAGCGATATTAAATTTAAACATATAAAAGAACTGCATTTATATTAATTAAATTTTCTAGTAATATATTATATGAGGAGAAAGCGTTATTTCATTAAAATATTCTTAACAGCACACATATTCCGAAGACGTTCAGAGAACATCTTGAGGTGTGTCCTCTGGATATCCTCTGAATATCTTTCGGATATGTTGTGCTATTAGGGATATATTAGAAACAGAGAGGTGCTATTGCCATTATATATGCTCAGCAAAAAATATTCATACTTCATTAAGATATAAAATATTATAAAAAGAATTTAAAAAATCATTTAGAAAATATCTAGCTTCTTCATATGCACTACTTCATATGCGCAATTTCTTCTACTAAACAAAAAGTAAAAAAGAAAAAGTTTTTCTCCAACACTCTATACTAAAAACATTTTTAATTTTTACACAACACTGAACATATATTAATTTGATAAGAGTGATTTATAGAGCGATATATATTTTTGATACTATATTACTATTTTGATACTATATTACTATATATCATTCAGAGTGTGATGATTAAAGTTTATTAACATAAATATATAAAGGGAAAATCTACATATACAATATTTTAAATATATAACAATTGTTCAATTTCTGACCTGTAATTATCTATATTTATATTAGCTGAAATTTCTTTGTTCTTTTCTACGTTTAAAACGTCTCCCGCCTCAATTTTATAAGTGGTTGCATTTTTAGCCATAGATAGCAGAAGTAGACAGTGGATATGGTAATGCCATCTTCAAGGAATTTGCTAAACAAAATTTTTTCGCTGACGCACAATTTCTGTCGCTTGACAGAAGTTGTGTATATGACGTTAAAAAAAAAGTCGCGTGAATGATAGCGATTTTATATACGTTTTATAAAAAAATATCTCGAACGATTTTAGTGTATAATTCTATTTACAAACAAGAATTATGCTCTATAGTTTACGTACAGTAAACATGAGTCTCGCGAGATAATTTTAATGGTAATAGCGCTTATTTATTTGTCACAATATATGATACGATACACAAGTAAAGAAATGTCAAACAATCGACATTCTGTCACACAAAATTGATAAGTAGAAAAAGAAGAGTCAATATACAAAAAAATTATTATTATAGAGTATAGAGTTCTGCATATTAATTATAAAGATATTTCTTAAGTAACAAACTTCTTTTTTGGATTATTTGGTGAAATGTTTAAACCACTTGATAACTTTGAAAGTCATTGTAATAATAAAAGTTACAACAATATTAGCAATAAGGATAAGTATATAAAATTATTTACAAGATATAAAAATAAAATGTCTCTTCACAGACTATATTCCTAAAGCGAGCATGTGCAGAAAGAAAGTTCAAAGTGACAGACAATTTGGCAACGTGGATTACACACAACTTACAGAAACCGATAATGGTTTCTTTGATTCACAAGTATGTGAGAAACAATATCAGCATTATAAGATACAACATATTTGCATCATTAAATGATATAAATATGTATCTTTAAATACAATCTTGTTAGATTCACAATGTTTATTTTACATAACTAACAAGTGTAATAATTCTTTTTATAGTTCGTAAGTCCACCAGTGAAGATACCATGGAAGGCTATTACATTAGCGGCTCTTCTATTTGTTGGAGGAACCATTATGCTCATTATGGGAAGTTTGATTGTGAGCGGACACATAGATTCAAAAGTAAGATTTGTTTTATTATTGTAGCTATTATATAAACTAGTTATAACTATCTATGTGATAATATCTTTCAATTAATTTTGAGCAAGTGTAGAATATAATTATTGCCTCACAAGTGTATATTATAAATATACAGGAGTCTGTATTTTTTAGAGAGAATATCTGAGTTATAGATACTATAGTAAAACAAAAATCTTGTTTCTGTTACAGTATTCGGATCGCATGTGGCCAGTGATAATTTTAGGGGCCTTGATGTTTATACCAGGAGCTTATCATATGAGGGTAGCTATTTTAGCATATCAAAAAGTACCTGGCTATTCTTTTGATGATATACCTGAGTTTGATTGAATGAACAATTATGTATATATGCACATAGTACTTATTTAAATAATTTTTATTGATATTATGTATTGAAAAATGCATTTAATATAAGAAATTTTTATTTATGTGGTAGATAGAAATTATTTTTAAAGAATATATAGAGAAAAATGTAAAAACATTATTTTTTTTATGCATTGAAGCATTTATGTGTTTAATTAAATATTTCCTTATTAGGAAAAGATATACAAAATGTGTCACAACATAATGTAATATTGCAGTTATTTTTTATAAAACATTTCAAAAAATCTATAGAGATTTGCATGTGTGCTGATATTTTATATAATAACACAAGTGTCAAACTTATCATGGATATTTGAATATATATGATATTTAAGATATTTTCAAAATATAACTATTATATATAATTATCTGTGTGGTATTTCCCAAAAGAACTGTGATTATAGTATTGGAATACATATTCACTATACAATTATGTGAAATTGTTTATATGTGCTACTGTTTTAGATTTAATAAATGTGCACTGTTAATAAGAATTATCATATATATGTATACACATGTACGCATATATAAAATAAAAATTCTTAACTCTTAAATGCTTAATTTAATGTTCATGTCTCTTTTTATTTCATTTGTTTTCCATATAATTTCTTTACAGGATAAAGATAATTATAATCTTTGTTTCAAAATTTATGTATAAAATTATATAAAAGAATTATACATTATATATTTAGATTTCTATGAATAGTTTCTAAGAAAAATATAAAAATATAATAAATGAATAAAAAAAAATAAAAATTATTATAAAAGAAATTATATGTTCCTATATACATGAAGTATATATATTTGAAGTATATATATATTTATTATATATTTATATTAATATATATATATTGTGACAATATTATTATATATTATAATATAATATATATATATATATATATATATATATATATATAACGTTATATAATATGTAGATAACATAGATGGAAAAAAAAAAAAAAAACTTCTAAAAAATGGCGCAATATTAAAAAAAAATAGCTTCATAAAAGAATTATTGAGTTAAATACATGAAAATCGATGCACTTTATGTATATTGATTTTTATAATTAAAAAAATTTCTCAATTTTAATTAAATTATAATTTTAATTCAAATACATAAAGTGCATAGGTGTATTACGTTAAATAAAACAAAATATTTCTTTAAAAAATTTTTGTTTTGGGATTACTAAAATTATTTCTATCTTAAATAATAAACATTGAAAATTAATTTCTAATTTCTACTTGATCTCAATTTGCTTCCATGTTCCACTATCGTTTATGAATAAGTATAATTTTAATTACAATGTTCTGATTTCAAATAATTTATAAGGCTTTTACTCTGTAGCTTACCTATTCTACCTTTACCCCTTGGTACTAATGATATAGGTGGATCAAATTTTCTTAAGACAGTTCTAATTAATGCCTTTGTCTTTAAAATAGTCTGATTATTATGATGGTGTTGCAATGTGGCACAATAAAACTGTTTTGTTGATTTTATCTGTAAATTAATAGGATTACGCAAATGTAAAGTAATGGAAGAGTAATGCAAGAAGTAAGCAATACAAAAAATAAATCAACGAGATAGAAAGAAAGATCATTTCATTGTATACATTTTGCATCAAATATGTGAAATGTTCTAGAAATTTAATTTTGTTCTTTAGAGAAAAATTCTGTTTGTAAATACTCACCTCCAAAATGTAGTACACCTTGATTTGTGTAGGTTTAGCAAATTCAATCGCATGTCCATAGTTCATTATAAGATTTTCTAACAATTGCCGGAATAAAAGATATATTTCTTCCTCTGTTAAGTCGGTATTTATAACAATGTGTATTACTGGCAACAACTGTATCAAAGACAGAACAAAATAAAATAAAATATCAAATAATTCAATATTTATCTAATTAAAATGTTGAGAAATAAAAAAAAGTATACTTTGGTATCAGAAAAATTTTTTAATGAACTAAGATTAGAATTATATATTTTTTTTCTCTCTATTATATAAATTTATAAATAAAATCATACATTTTTTTTACCTTTACTGTTGAATATATACCTATGCCCACTGCATAATTATATATCTGTTTGGCTAAAACCTCATCCGTATGAATTATTGTTGAAATTAGTGCACGACAAGTTATTGTACTTAATGCAAAACTATGTTTAAGCACTAATTGGGCCATTTCTGTGGTTACATTCGAATCCATTTTTAATAAAGATAATATTATTAATTTGTCCACATAACGTGTTAAGTCTAGAAACAAGATAAAAATCTTTACACATAATTATATCAATACATTTGTGTCACATAAGTGATATAATTCACAAAAATATAAAAATGTATAAAAACCTACTTTACCTATTGGATAATAATAACTGGATTGATCTTTAAGTAAAAATTGAAAAAGGAAGAAAGCATGTTCAAGAAATTCATTGCAAAATGAATCCAGCAGAATGTATATTATCTTGGTTCTTACATACTCATCATTAATAGTGCTTTTAACGTACCACTTATCACGACTGGTACATATAATATTTTTATCTGAAAACATTAATATAGAAAAATAAATAATGTGTAATATATGTATGTGTAAATATATATATTCATCAGAAATAAATGTTGATAAAATTAAAGATAACTGAAATATATATTGATTTGTACAGCATTATCTCAATAACATTCATTTTAAAATCAAATGTGTTTAAAAAATAATTCCATATTAAAGAGCATTTGTGGATATATGTATATATATATTTTTTTTTATATGTATCTTTCTAAACATTTATGCATTTATACATTAAAATTTGTGGGATAAAATTGTGCACTTGCAAGAAGAGTATAAACTCACATTTGAGTAAATCGCATGCCTTTACTGCTTTTTTGTTAGCTAAGTAAGTTTCGGCGGATAATAGAAAATATGCTGCATTATATGGCAAGTCATATATGTTAAGTGTTTGTATCAATTGGAGTGCAAGTCCCCAAGCTTCCTCATCCACTAAATTGGCCAAAATGTCTAATCCTATGTCGAATATAATTTTATCTAAAATGTTGAAGGTACCCGTTTGGACTGAAATGTCCAAAATATGAATTAGGTGAGATTATAAATAAAAAGAAGTTAGTCATATAGTAATTTATTTATTTTATACAACATAATATAAATGATAGTAATAACATAAAATATATACATGTGCCTTGAAATGTTGATAAAAAAGAAAGAAACTTTAATTGTGAACATGAGATTATAATTTTGACATATATAATCTTGATACTTAAAATCTATAAAAAAGCAAGTATTATTTGCATTAGAGATTATAATTAGTTGTATTTTTATGTGTGTTAAATGTGCACAAGTTAACCGGCTTCATATTATAGTTACTTGTTAGAAAAAAGATAAAAAAAATTTTCTAAGGTAAACAATCTGTATATACATACATAATATGTATATAAGTATATACATGTATAGTATTATCTATATACTATTGAACATATCCTCTCTCGTCTCTTTCTTTAAATGTATTTTTATTAAAATATTGGTTACCTGTTCGTCTTAGGATGTTTTTTAAGTGATATTCTCTACCTTCTACTTTTTGAAGTATAAGAGAACACTTACTAACAAATAACTCTTTTTCTCGTTTTTTGGAATCGTAACTTTTTAAAACATCAATAATGTAATCATAGTCTTCGTGGATGAGCCCTTTTTTAAATCGGTCTAAATTCACAAAAAATTTCCAGAAACGTTCGTGATCTTTATAGGTACATTCCGCACTGGTTGTATCTAGAAAAAATATAACTATAATGATAACAGTAATGTATACCTATAGCATAAAAGTTTCGTAATGGTTAAATATCATGAAAAATAATGACTATGAAAGAAAATAGAAGTTTTAAAAAATCAAATGGTCTATTATATGGCTATATTGATATGACCTTCTGTGATCTTGAAGGACCCCGTGAAGATCAACTTTCAAATCTTAAATGGAAACTCTCATTTTTCATTGTATATTCTTGAAGCTGGTGTCAAAGCGTTTCCAAATACTGGTTATAAACCATTTTTACTTGAGATCTTCCTGAATTAGGTCTTCAAGTTTAAGTGAGTTTCCCATTTAAGATTAATTTTTGTATTTAATATTTTCTTCCATAGTTATTATTTTCTAATTTGACTGTTACAGAACTTTTTGCTATCAGTTTATATTTTATATATACTAGCTTAAAAAAATGTATATATTCTCAAACACATATTTTCCTAAATAATCGAAAATAAAGAGAATAATTACCGATAGGTTGCAGAAAACCATATCTGTATGGTTTTACATTTTCAGCTTGAATAATACGATGCTCACTTTGATTACTATCAGTTTCACTAATAGAATTATCATATTTTGTTGAAGATTCCTGCTGCATAAAGCCTGTATTTGGACTTTGATCAGGAGAAGCAATAGTTTCTGTTATTAATTTTTGTCCAAAATGTTGAATCATTCTTTTAGGATAAGATTTTTCTGCAGATTTCTCAACCAATATCTTTTGAAAATATTGTAATATATATTCATCCAATGTTGATATTATTGTAGGCTCAAGTTTACTTATCAAATTACTGTGCACATCTTGCATATTTTCTAAGTTTTTATTCGTTATGCAATCATGTAAAATTTTGCTAATAATATATTTACGAACATTCGATTCAGATTGTAAAATTAAATTTCTTATAGTGTTCCAGTATTCATCACGTTTCATATAGTTTTTTAAACATATTATTAGGTTGTAAAGTTCGCGTAAATTTTTGGTGGGTAAGATGTACGTCATCATTCGTTCAGCGATTACTCTTATTGGCATGTGTCTCTTTAATAATTCATCAATAATATTAGTAGCAATATTTCTCCTCGTCATATCTGTGAATTCCTTTCTAGAATAAAAACTCGAACTTTCATAAAGCATATTATATATTTTGAAAATCTGTTCACTAGTTAATTTTCGAAATAAACTTATATATACTTCTTCACAAAAGTAATTAAAACTCTGTTGCAATGCTTCTCTTATTATGTTGACGATTATTCTGCCATCTTTTGTGGAAATTGTATTAAATAATTTTCTCAACTAAAAATTAAAAGAAATTAAAGATTATATTAATATATTAGTGCTTACATCAAACAATCCGTATAAAAGCGAAATAAATATACCTACATTATGATCGAATGTACACTGTTGCCTGTAGCATATTTTGTTTCTTAATGCTATAAAACAATATCCATTGAAACATCCTTTAAAATTGTAAAGATTTTCCTTTATTGGACCAACATTTCTAATTTGTAGCGAATTTGGATCTGTTACAATTGCAGGTATACAATAAGCACTCAATGTTTGTGTCAATTGATTATCGAGTACTTCACTTGGTTTATTAGATGTCGAAGGTTCAGTTTTAATTTTTGTATTATTTTCTATACATTCTGCATACACTCTGTTAAATTCATTATTATTCTGCTTTACATATTTGTCAAAACTGTTAGCAGTCATTTCATATGGTACATCAAAATGTATCGAGTGATGTGACTTGTCTTTTTCGGATACAAATTTATCTTCCTCCCTGTAATAATACATCACTTTTAGATATTATAAGTCATAAGTATTTATAATACACATGTGTCATTATTAATATTAATAACAATTGTAAAATATTTATCTAATAAAAAGTTATAAATATATAAAAAAATAATTTTAAATAAAAAAATTACAGTAAATATTATATATTATTTTTGATCTATTATCTTTTTAGTCTACTTACTGGATTATATCAAATTCTGCAAAAGATTCCGCAAAAATAGATATATAATCATCATCATCATCATCATCATCATCATCATCATCATCAGATACACTTGTATGCTTCTCTTGGCCACTACTTTTCTTTTCACACAAAGTTTTATTTAAAGTTGAAGTTTCTTCTTTGACAGAAAGTTTTTTGCAAAATTCCTCGTTTTCTGCTGTATTATAAAATTAAGAGAAAATAGTCATTTTTATCAATTAAATTTCTAAAGATGCATTTCACAATTATTATACTTACTTTTTGTAGTGTTTAAAGTTTTTGTTGATTTTATTTGATCCAATTGTTCGCGTAAGTCCATTTTTTCTTTGTGATTATGTTCTTCAGATATATCTAATTTTATTGGAATATCTGTCGCTGTATCTGCTGTAATAGCTTCTGAACTTGAAGAGTCAGAGATAATATTATATCGTTTACGTTTAATTGGTTTAGATGTTTCATTATTTTGCCAATTGTTTCTATTTAATTTAATTTTTTTACCCAGATTACTATCTTTATCTTTTTCTTCCAAAGTACGCTTCTGAATTTGCTTTATATCATTTGCTTTGCTTGTAGACATAAATGATGTACTACAGTTTTCATCATCTGTATCAATAGGATTTGATATTTCTTGCATATGTTGATTCTTGTTTAATATGTTTTTAGTGTATTTTTCTTCACACTTTTCATTGTCTTGTAATGCGTTATTTTCATTTACTTCAATATTACTAGTAAATCTACTTAACTGTTCCTCGTTTAAAGTATAATTTTTTTGTGTCATTGTTGTTTCACTATCAGTACTATTAATATCTATATGACCGTTTTGTCTTTCTCTTGTCCAAGAATTTAAATTTTTATAATCAATAAATTTACTGTTGAATTTATTTGATATGCTTTTATTCTTTGAATTAATATTATTGTTAAGTGGTAATATAGAATTTAAAATATTGCTTGATCCATTTATTTTAAGGGATGTATGATTCTCCCTGAGATTTTCTCGATTTGTAGTTTCATCGTCAATTGTATCGTCAAATGTATGTAAACTATTATTTATTATTACTCCATCAACTTTTATTTCTTTTTGTGCTCCTTTTAGAACTTTTATTTCTTTTGAGAAAACACAATTTCCAATTATTTTTGGTAGATTTGGTTTTATTTCTACTTTTGACGTATTAATATTTTCTGACACTTCTGCGTGACATGTAGTAGTTTGTACTATAATATCTACAGTAATTTAAAAAAATATAACTTTATTACTTAACTTTTATTTGCCTCTAGTGTTATCTCTTATTTATTTCATTATTATAAGTCGTAAATAATTAAAAAATTATCAAGAAATTATAGCCTTCAAATTTTATATTTATTTTTCTAATATTAGTTAATCCATTTATAAATATGCTTAAGTTTTGCATTAATTTATATTCAAAGATAAATTTAAAATTTAATTATTTAAAAAAAATTTAATATTAAATAATTTTTTCAACATGCTTCCTCGAATATAATCATATAAAGAAAAAGAAATAAAATAAAAATTATATATATATATATATATTTATATAATTATATATATATATATATATACCTTATATATATAAGGTATATATACATACCTTTGTTATTTTTTTTCATCTTACATCGCTCCTGTTTTACTTTGCACCTTACGCCATCAGAAAAATTAACTGGATATAAATTATTATTATTATTATTATTACACTCTGTATATATAATAGATTTGTTGGATATCTCTTGTGTATTGCTATTATGCTCATTAACAGTTAAATTGTTCTTATCCAAGCAATTTGTATCATTAGATTCCAACTTAGCTGATTCTGCAATTACATTTATGAAAAAAAAAATAAATAAATTTATAAAAGAGTATACAATGCTATGACATAATGAGATGTAAAAATAAAAAACAAAATTGAGAGTTCTGATAATGAATACATTCAAGTAAGGGATAATGAATATCCACAAGTAAAGGAAACCAACTAATTAAGAGTTAGAAACAGTTATTGTGCAATTTCTTTTCCTTCGAATATCGATCATTCAAATTCATACATTTTGATCTACTATTTGGATCATCATTAGTAAATAAAACTTCATTCAGATCAAAACAGGGGTGTTTTTTTGTGACCCTTTACAATGAACAAACAAAATAAGATAAATTTATTTCTAGTTCAGAAATGTTTGGAAGCATCACATAAAGTGTCCAAACAAGTAATAAATTATCGCATAAACACAGCCATCACAGGGCACATACCGTAAACATAGATCAGAATACAAATTGTTGTACTATGTTTAAATTTAAATTTGTTAACAAAAATAAGAAATAATGATTATAATTTCCGCTTACTTGTGGATATGCTGAAATAAATATAAATTTAAATTTACCATTTGTTACAGGCTCAATTAAATGTTGAATCTCTTCAGAATCTATTCTAATTTTTGTGCTTGGTTTTTTAACATTTTTATCATTCTTGTTATTCATTAGCATAGTCATATTTTGCATATAATTGAAATGTGTAACTGAGGATGAACAAGACGTTTCATCGATACTTTTACTAGAAACTAGTTTAACGTTGCTACAAAGATTTACTCTCCACAATTTCAATTTTGGAATTTTTTTATTGTCTTGATGGCTTGATATGTCTTTGCTTATGTTTTCAACTTTGTAGATTTGCTGAGGTTCAATTTTTCTATGATCTTTTCTCTTTTCTTCTTTAATTATTTCTTTTGAAATATTTTTTGTTGTATGTTTACGATTCCTTGTAGCATTTTTTTTCTGTACACTTCCTTTTAATGACTGTTTCTTAAAATGTGTAGATGTATTAATAGGCGATTGTTTCTCTTGCTTTAAAGGTAAATTTAATTGATAGCGTTGAATTAAATCTGTATCGAAAGCAATGTTACATAGTGCAACTGTACATGCACGAAGTTCTGGTGTTATTTTCTTCTTTGAGCGAGCCATTATGTCTTGTTCAATTAGTTTAAAAATCTCTCTTTTTCTTCTGATCAACAATGATAAAAGTTTTTATGCATCAGGAAAGTACATGTTTTCATCACTCTGGTTTCCAAGATACATGTATGTCATGTATGATAAAATATTGTGTTACCACATTAATCAAAGTGCGTAAAAATCATGGATAGATCTAAATTACAAAACATGATACAAAAAAAATAATGTTAATACAACAAAGAAACAGTATCTGTATTTTAAAGTGAAATTCACAAGATTGTGTATAAAGATATCGCCTAAAAAATCGTACACGATATCTCGTACAATAAAAATTACCCCGAAAAATAAATTTAATTACAGAAATTATTATCAAAAATTAGTCCTTTACGACATGCAATTCCTCTTCAATGCACACATTTTACGTTACACCGTCCAGGTTTCTTGCACGTTACACACCGGAATATCTGGCATAATATATTATTATAAGTACATATCTACCTTCAATAAGAATATATGCATATTCTGTCCGTGGATTCTCTCAACAATCGTTCGGGAAAACGTCACTAATTATTATGTAAATTAATCATCAAATCGCACACCACAACGCACAGAGCCTTTTCGGGGTTCACCGCGAAAAGTTTTGAGTATCCTACTTCGAGAATCGCAAGCAAATGGTATCGATATATAATACTAAAGGGTCATATTACACAACAGACTCGGTTGCGATAAACGCTCGCGGCTGGACCAATCAGCTGACACGCTGCTTCGCTCTGATTAGTCAAACCTAGTCCCACTCCCAATAATTCCAATCGGATAACGTAGTGTAATATGGCCTTAAAATCGGAAATTATTTATTACGCGAATATAGGATAAAATATTTATATGTCGACTAGTTGTCAGATAAAAAATTTTGAAAAATTAAGAAATTTTTCTTTGACAACTATTAGTCGACAAAGAATTCTCCGTTCGGTTGAATAAACTTTATTATCGTCCTAGTATCATCTTACTCTATGCCGCAAAACAGGCCGGCATTTTATCGGATGATTATCTCTTCTCAGAAGGGAGAAGAAAGGCAGAGGTTTTCGTGATTGTCAATTCATAACACACACTCATCTTGAAGTATTTATATATGTAAGTACATATATAATATGCAATAATTGTTTAATATTGTTCATAATTATTGACAAAGCGTACAAAATGATAAAAATAATTTTATTTGATGCATATGATAAAGTTCACTTGAGTAAAATCAATGTATATAATATAGTATTCTTGTTGTTGAGAATCACTGTTATTGTTTGAATTGCTTTACATCGTATTATATTATGATGATGCAATCTTATTGTATCAACCACGCATTTCTTACACGTACGTTATTATAGAAAACAAATCTATTCTATCTATATAATAAAAAAAAGGAATAAATTGCATTATAATTAAAAAAAATTTTTTATGCAATATAACACACGTGTTATATTGCGTCTTATGTCTCGAATTTAGACGCTTTATTGTCTGAGTTATTTTTTGTGATGTCTTTTATTGAAAATAAGCATATATTATTGATATATATATTTTATAATAATTTTGTTCTTTATTATAATTAAATTCCTTATTTGTGTCCTTATATATTTTTCTCCTCTGATTCTCTCTTCAACTCATATATATATATATCACATTTTATTCCGTTCCAGTTCAACAAAAAACAAATCTTATTGCGAAAAAATATTTTAATATTGCAATAATATGACAAAAATTAATAAGTTTGTCCGATTGGCCATTGGACAGGGAATTTCTTAAATTCCACTAGTCAGGACTCTAGGAACTCTCCATCCGAGAGTCACTAGAAATTCTCTATCCGACAGCCAATCTACGTTGGACAAACTTTTCTGGTACAAATGTATTTTTCGCCTAAGTTGTCGGCACTGGTCGGCGCTGGAAGTCGATTTGTGCTTCCCGAAGTAAGAAATTTAAATGTTTTATGGTGAATCAGAGGATAAGAAAGGTATGTGCATATAAAAAATTAATAGTTTATATATATTTATTTAGTATATATTGTGTATTTAACATACATATATATACATACACACATATATTTTCGAGGCGGTATAAAGTTGCATCTACATAAAATACTTCGTGATTATATATATATATATATATATATATATGATAAATAATTCCTTTAAATAGTACACACAAAATTATGTCTATTATAATTATTTCTCTGATTTCGCAAGATTTTGTTAGCAACTTACGTATTCAGTACGTTCGCAATGTCTTGAAACATTTGAAAATGTATGTTTATTGGAACATTTAAAGAGATATCCTTGAAGTATACCACGTGAATTACGTTGACACTTATAATATGCATTATTCGAACAATCTTTATTATAAGGATAATAGCCTTCTTTTGGGCATAACTTTCTCGTAGGAGCTTTCACCTGAAAATAAAAATTGATCAGTTTTTTTCTCTCATAAAATATTTTTAGATAAAATAATATATATTTATATAATAAATTGTATAACATCATTATAGATCATCGTGCATAGATTATTTATAGATAATTTTTAAGAAATGAATTACGATTATTTCTCTAATTTATTTCTATAATCAACATTAGCTTTATATGAAATTAACATTATCAATGAATAAAAATTACTAATTTTGATAAATTAGTTATAGTTGTATTTTAAGAAAGATATATAAATTTTAAAAGTTACTTTATTATAATTTAATGTTTTTATATTTAAAATATAATTTCAATAATTAATATTGTATGTATATTAAAACTGCATTTAGAAAACGGGATATTAACTTATATAAGATTGATAAGTTCGAAATAAGTATATATAATATTCTTGGCAATATTCTAAATCTAATTTATTAAATATTATAATTTGCAACAGCTAAAGAAAGATATTAAAAATTTTATTTTAGAATTAAATAATTAATTTAATTCTATACAATTTAATTTCTTGTAATTAAATTTCTTGTGTTATAAATTGTTTTATTATTCGTTAAAAAACAAAAGAATATGTAATAATTATCTTTAATAAAAGTGTGACTTCACAATTCGAAACAATATAATATTCTAATAATAAAAGATACATTTAAGCAATAAATATATAAATATATGAGTTTGTTATATATAAAACAGAAATTTAATTATTTATTCATACTTACGAGTGTTTTCGACACATTTGCAATAGAGGAGTCAATAAACTTTTTACAGCTGATATGTGAATGAAGACTTTTATGGCTTTCTTCGTTCACGCATTGTATCTTTTTGTCATCGAAAACTCTGCCTTCTGGACAGACCAGTACAACAATGTTAGGATCTATATTATTCATTATTGTACATTGATAGAAAAGATTGCAATATTTTGGATGACGTCGGAAACCAGTTGGACAAACAAAAGCCATTTGATCTTCAGTCAAACTTTCAATAGGACAAATTGATTCAGGAGAAACAGTCGAGCTCGTCGGAAGTTCAGTAGATGTAGGGAAGTCAGTGGTAGTTTGTTTTCCATTATCATTAGTTTCTCCTTCAATCTTTGATACATTATCATCTTTGTCCTTACATGACAAGTTTTTCACAGCCGATTCGAAATTACAAATTTTGTTGTCTTGATCCCATACTGTTCCTTCAGGACAAATAAAATCCATTCTTTTTAATTTTGATTTAACTTCAACGCATTTATAATATTTTCTACAATCACTGAGATTTGGGAAATAACCAGGAGCAGTACACTCTGAAACAGATTCATTTGATTCTTCATCGATTCCTGGATAATCTTCTGTTGGAATCTGTGGAGTTGATACTCCCTCCTTCGTGCTCTCGTCACTCCGTTCTATGCTTTCAGATTGATTTTCGGTTGGAAGCTGAGGGGTAGTTATTTTATTTTCGTCGCTCTTGTCATTTTTGTTATCTTCCTTGCTTCTGGATTGATCTTCAGTTGAAATCTGAGGGGTAGTTATTTTATTTTCACCGCTTTGATTATTATTCTTGCTATCCTCCTCACTTCCGGATCGGTCTTCGGTTGGAATCTTAGGAGTAGTTATTTTATTTTCACCGCTTTCATTATTATTCTTGCTATCCTCCTTACTTCCGGATCGGTCTTCGGTTGGAATCTGAGGAGTAGTTATTTTATTTTCACCGCTTTCATTATTTTTGCTATCATCTTTATTTCCGGATTGATCTTTGGTTGAAGTTTGAGGGTAGTAGTTATTTCATTTTCGCCGTTTTCATTATTATTCTTGCTATCCTCCTTACTTCCGGATCGGTCTTCGGTTGGAATCTGAGGAGTAGTTATTTTATTTTCACCGCTTTCATTATTTTTGCTATCATCTTTATTTCCGGATTGATCTTTGGTTGAAGTTTGAGGGGTAGTTATTTCATTTTCGCCATTTTCATTATTATTCTTGCTATCCTCCTCACTTTCGGATCGGTCTTCGGTTGGAATCTTAGGAGTAGTTATTTTATTTTCACCGCTTTCATTATTTTTGCTATCATCTTTATTTCCGGATTGATCTTTGGTTGAAGTTTGAGGGGTAGTTATTTCATTTTCGCCGTTTTCATTATTATTCTTGCTATCCTCCTCACTTTCGGATTGGTCTTCGGTTGGAATCTTAGGAGTAGTTATTTTATTTTCACCGCTTTCATTATTATTCTTGCTATCCTCCTCACTTTCGGATCGGTCTTCGGTTGGAATCTTAGGAGTAGTTATTTTATTTTCACCGCTTTCATTATTATTCTTGCTATCCTCCTTACTTCCGGATCGGTCTTCGGTTGGAATCTGAGGAGTAGTTATTTTATTTTCACCGCTTTCATTATTTTTGCTATCATCTTTATTTCCGGATTGATCTTTGGTTGAAGTTTGAGGGGTAGTTATTTCATTTTCGCCGTTTTCATTATTATTCTTGCTATCCTCCTCACTTTCGGATCGGTCTTTGGTTGGAATCTTAGGAGTAGTTATTTTATTTTCACCGCTTTCATTATTATTCTTGCTATTCTCCTCACTTCCGGATCGGTCTTCGGTTGGAATCTTAGGAGTAGTTATTTTATTTTCACCGCTTTCATTATTATTCTTGCTATCCTCCTCACTTCCGGATCGGTCTTTGGTTGGAATCTGAGGAGTAGTTATTTTATTTTCACCGCTTTCATTATTTTTGCTATCATCTTTATTTCCGGATTGATCTTTGGTTGAAGTTTGAGGGGTAGTTATTTCATTTTCGCCGTTTTCATTATTATTCTTGCTATCCTCCTCACTTTCGGATCGGTCTTCGGTTGGAATCTTAGGAGTAGTTATTTTATTTTCACCGCTTTGATTATTATTCTTGCTATCCTCCTCACTTCCGGTTCGGTCTTCGGTTGGAATCTGAGGAGTAGTTATTTTATTTTCACCGCTTTCATTATTTTTGCTATCATCTTTATTTCCGGATTGATCTTTGGTTGAAGTTTGAGGGGTAGTTATTTCATTTTCGCCGTTTTCATTATTATTTTTGCTATCCTCCTCACTTTCGGATCGGTCTTCGGTTGGAATCTTAGGAGTAGTTATTTTATTTTCACCGCTTTGATTATTATTCTTGCTATCCTCCTCACTTCCGGATCGGTCTTCGGTTGGAATCTGAGGAGTAGTTATTTTATTTTCACCGCTTTTATTATTTTTGCTATCATCTTTATTTCCGGATTGATCTTT